CACTGACGTTCACTGGCGCAGTGACTGCACCGACACTGATGTTCCCTGAGCCAGTGACTGCACCGACACTGATGTTCGCTGAACCAGTGAATGCACTGACACTGATGTTCACTGCACTGTAAGCAATTGCAGTTAGAGCAAGATTTATTATTCTACCTTTTTTTATACAGTACAGTGAACATCAGTGTCAGTGTGGCACTGTCGGTATTTCAGTATTTGCACTGAAACTGCACATCCCTAGATACGATTGAACTACAATAGAAAGTCGACTAATTATAGAGATCCAATGCAATTCGACATTTCTGTGTCGTGAGCTCAACACCATCATGAATTGGTGGCAATAAAGTGTTTTTTAATGAAAATGATCAGTCATAGGAACTTCACGAAATCGGACATGCCAAAAAAGTTGTGAGCACATTTTTAATGCTTTTATAATTCACTACTTATAAAAGTGCTTTGCCAAGTATTCTCTATAATTGGACATATTCTGTACGAAGTTTCTGTGTAAGGACCTACAGAAAGATTTTACAATGTCTTGCAGAAGCCAAATACATTAATAAAAACTCAAAACTCGAAGATAAATTATTTAGTATAGTGCGAAAGGTGAAGAAATGAGGAATTCAAATCATATAAAAGAAACTGGAGTCGCTTGTGCAGCCTTACCAAAAACATATTATTTTCTCTTTTAGATATATAATAATAGTTTTAGGCAATGTTCTTAACTTTTTTCTGATGAATGAAAACTTGAAATTATTCTCTATGATCAAGAACACAATAGCTCATTAGGTTAAAATACGATTTTAATATACAAACTTATTTTTGATAGTTGTCTTTTAGGACACCCTTTAACCGGTCATAATACCGGTTTTGTGTTATTTATTTCTGTTAGCGCGTTTCGACGAGCTTATCTTATTTTATTTCAAAAGAAAAGTGTGTATATAAAATGTCCTTGATCACATATATAGTACGCAATACAAAAGAGAGAAGAGAGAAGAAAAGAAGGAGAGGTAACAATAACAACAATGGAGGATGAGAGAGAGAGATGGAAAAACATCAAGGGGTAGGAATGAGAGTGAATCACCGCTAACAATTTCTTGCCTTGAATTCGCAGAAACTCAAATTTAAAATATTTTATTGATATAATATATTGAATAATACATTCCCACATTATGTAGAAGTCAAAGTACCAGATATACGATAGTGTTAACGGTGAATCAAAATTCTAACCAAAAAGAATAATAAACGATGTTAGAGACACATAAAATCAAAGTATATTATAAAATTAATACTTTTTGGCAGTTCGAAACCATTAGCAGTAAAATTTAGAAAATAACAACTATTTTTCAAGAATGATTACTAAGTTGATGCCCAATAGTTTGTCGTTTTTGTTGAACAAGAAAAAGACACAAGTATTATTGCACGGCATTAAAATGGACTCGATTTTTCAAGTTTCAACTTCAAATTGTAAATGTTAACATGATCAAACTGATACTGCGCGCCCGCGTGTGCAGTGCATGCCTATGACATAAATAGTATTATACATTTACCGAATATATAAGATATGGAGTAACAACATCTTGCACTTGTTTGTAATGATAAAGATTCAAATTTCGATAAGCTTGACAGTTCTAATGATAATTCAACTGTTGAAATTACTTCAACTATTGGTGAATGTGAAAATGTGTCAGTACATATATCAACATATCTTCAATTGGAATCCGAAGAAGACAATGATAATGATACTAATTTTGAATGTCCTAATTCATCTCCATCATTATTGCGTTTAAGCTCATCATATATTGACGAATTGAATGATTCTTATCAGGTAGTGTTTATCCATAACGTCTACTGTGAATGTTAGTTATCAAGAAACATCTTTGAAATGCAAACGATATCATTGAGCAGTCAAAGAAAAACTTGATGTCATTGCATTATTTGATAAAACTTAAAACCAACTTGAAACTACAAAGAAAGAAGGATGCACGAGTGGCTGATTAAGAAATAGAAATGGAAATAAAGAAAATCTATTTAAAATTGACAAAATAAGGTTGAATTATTATTTTCTTATCATTTCTCAGACCGTTCATTCATGACAAGAGCTCAAATAAAAACAACATTTCCTTCTTTTGATACGACGGATCATATTTAATGTCATTTCACAATATCAATAAATACATATTCTATTGAATGATTGAGAAGAATGTTCAATCGTAAACAGTTTACATCTAAATAGGTTTTTATTTCTGCAATAAATTCCGATACTTTAGCAACGTTCATTTGAATATAATGAGAAGAAAACGATGGTTGAACAAAAAAAAAAGAACTTACATTGATTAGACGTTATTAACTAGAAAGAAATGATAGAACTCAGTTGAAATCAATTTATGAAAAAGTGAAATTTAATTTTTGTTCATATTCTTTGGTACTTTCACATTGTATTTGAAACATAATTATAGTGCACTAAGTAAAATGCTATAAAGATATTAGATCGTTTATGTGTAGAAAATCAAATTAGAAGACTCCTCCTAATAGAGAAAGCACCTCTAAAAAATGTTATGCACTAGAACATAATAGAAGACTCGGTGTCTTTTATTCAATGGAAGATTTATTCATTCATACTCTATAGACATAAAATTGTTTCAACTATTTCTAATGTGACGGTGTGCAAACATTAAGAAATGATTTCTGTTGGAATTAATATGTGTATATAAGTTTGGTGAATGAGATATGTATTTTTATATTTTTCTTTCTATTTCTCCTGAATACAAGTAACTTTATGTAGGATAAAATAATAGTCTATAAACCAGTGCAATTTCCTCATCGACTGATTGTATTGCCCCCTAAATATATCAATGAATGAATGTAGAAGAAAAACATTCACACAACTCAAAGGCGTAACAAAGAAAAATAATAGAACTGATTTTAAGGAAAACAAAAGAATTACAAAGAAGAATGTCTATAATAGATGAAATCGTCTTCCTACAGAAGTATGATTTCTACCATGTTAAACTTTTACTTGAGGTGTTCAAAAGTGAGCCTTGATAAACTTAGATTTATAACACTTGTTTGTCTTCTGTCCCAGCCGAGTGAAAAAGTCAACGGCTGTCGCACATAGACTATACCCGGTTGTTGAGCATGACCAACTCTTTTTATCTATGAATCAAAACACTGACCAGACCAGAATTTATGTAGCTTGATAGCACTTTGTAGCGGCTTCAAAATGGTACAAAAACATCGAGAAAAAAAACCACTGATCACGCCAAAAAATCTCAAGAAGTTTGTTCTTGCGACATGATTTATAGTGTGTTTTACTTAAAATGTAGTACATTTCGATTAAAAAAATATGATTCGGATGAAAAGTAATGTGATATTCTGAATCAGCATTCAAAATTGAGTGAACTTCTGTGTATTTCAAAAATTTTCCTTACCTTATTGTTTCGCCGAAAGGTTCATTCATACTTCTTCTCTGTGTCCGGTTAGATCAAAGTTGAATTTCGTTAAAAAATTATCTTTGCAGTGTAATTCAAGTTCTAACATTATAAAATGATAGTAGAATTTTAGATAACAGATGAAAAAAAAAAAATAAAAATAGAGCTTTCGTGAAACTCATTTTTTGATCCAATCTCTGAGGGAGAAAAAATGAATTCTTCGACGAAAAAAATTTTTACGAAAATTTTTTTTGCAACATGTAACTCCACACATTTTTGTATGTTGATTCAGAATATCATATTTGTATTAATCCAATTCGTCTTTTTCTAAATGAAATCTACTAAATATCAGGCAAAAGAATCAGAAGAATCAGATCTAGAGAACAGCCTTGTTGGGATTTCTTTGTATAGTCAGTATTTTTACTTGGATGTTTTTATATCGTTTAAAAAGCACTATAGAACCATAGGAAAATAGTCATAGACTATTTCAATGAACCTATGGACAACACAAATAAGTGCTATATAACTATTTCTACCAGGGTTTATTTTCGAACATCTTGCGTAATAGTTTAACATACAAAAAGTTAAATGCTTTGAGGACATCATTTTCAGCAGTTAGCGACGCCCTACTTTCAGTCTCTATAAAGAAAATAGGGTTCTTTAGTGAATATAATATATATAAAACGAATCTATATCGAAAATTATTAGCAGACAATACAGAGCAACTTCAGCAGAACAGAAAATTATTGTGAAGTTCATATTGGTCCATAGATTTGTTTTTTACGCTCGCAAATCGATTCATAATTTATGATAAGCATATTATTCACCAACAAAATACTAGAGATTGCAGAAAAAAAAGAGATATGATACGAAATACCAAATCATAATGCAGTATATTACATGAAAAACTTTCAGTGAATAGATCCATTCGAACTTCAGAACGATAGTCGAGAATTAATTTAAAAGTCTAAAAACTTTATTTATTTATGATTTTCTTTTGTTAATTTTAATTTTAATTTTAAGCTTTCAAGTAAACTTGAACATAAAGTATCCAAAGTAATAAGGAAAATTACAGTCATTAAGTATCAACTAATGTTCTGTTGATATTTTTTATACCATTCTTTAATCTATTATGGCACCTAGCAAACATCCAAGTATGTTGGTTTTAGAAGAAGTGATCAAATCAACAGCTTATCACTCTGAGCTTAGGCCCAACGGACTGTAATTATTTTAGAGATAAAGAATAAACATAATTATATCATTCTATTTATCGAAACCATCGATTCAATCCCAAATATTGAGTATTTGTTCTACTGAAGCTGTTTGATTTCCTACAAAACCTCAAAAGATAAAATTCGATTATCCCGCTAGTCAAATATTAATTTTTTTAAAATTTATTAGCATAATTTTGTAAATATATAAGACAGTTTTTTGTTCAATATTTATTAGACAAAGATCATAATGAGACACAACAAATATGTGTCACATGAGATAATTAAAAAAGAAATATTCTTCATAATCTTCGAAATCTATTTTCGAAAACAAAAAATCGGAGTATACTTAATATTAAAATTATTCTTTTAAATGATGATTAATAAAATCAAGTAAATCGCTTTTTTTATCAAAAATTTCAACGCTTCTCGGAGGATCTGGTGTGTGTTTTAATAAATCTGTTTTACTTCTTGTATAGACTGCAAAAGATCTTGTTCCAAGATTAAGATTCTTAAAAAGTTGAGCAACATGAGTAAAACTTTTCTTTTCTTGTATATAATACCCTCGACATATAGTGATAAATTTTTCACGTTTATGTATTTCACATAAACTGTTATTTAAATATTCTTCAGCATCTTTATATGTAGGTTTAAAGATGATTTCTAATGTTGGATGATCTGCTTGTATTGTATTGGTCATTTTGGGGTCATTTTGAGGTATATCAATCCAAAGTAACATTGGTTTTAACGGAGAAGTTCTTGATGTATCATGAGCTGAGGCACTCGATAATGATGATGTATGTGAAGGCACTGAAAAAAGTCGAACATAACCAAAGGAAATAGATTTAGCTTATTAGTATCTGATAGATTATCGACAAATGGATACGACAATGTTGGAGATACTAGTAATTTATTTTTGTATGAAAAGTGATTTATAACAAGTTTTGTTTTATGAGAAAAAAAATTCTTGAAAGAATGGAATAGAATCTGAATCAAAAGACAAAAATCGTTTTATAGAGTCAAAATCAAAATAGAAAATAGATATTGACTAATCGCTTG